AACTTTATTTTCCTAATTTAATTGGTAACGAAATTATATTCTAAACAAAGTAAAAACGATCACAACTGCCGAGCAACAAATGATCACAGTTGCGAAATCCAGTCATGCTGAGTTTCACAATTGTTGATTATACTCAGTAGTGATTATAATAACGTTTAAAAAAAACAACTTTGTTGAATTGTAATGAAATGCAAATAAAATTCAACTTTGTTTCGTCGTAAGCAAATAATTCCGGTCGCAAATTAACGCTCGATGCTGTCGAGTATCCGCCATGTTTCTTGTCTTGCATGGTTGACCTAATAGGTCAAATCTCCAATTAACCAATAAAAATGCTGGATAACGCCAACGTGTTCAAATTACCATAGCTCATTTAAATATGTTAATGTTATTTAACGCAACGCGAAAGAGATTTGCCGATGTTGTAGTACGATCATTTGGCTTGGATTTTTACGGGAAAACTGCATGATTTTTTTTTTCAAATCAAAAAATAGTTGTTTTCAAAAGATAAATTGAGCGTTTGAAGACTAATTTAACATCATTTACAGTGACAACAACTCGAACCGAAACGAAGTTTGCGCACTCACGCTAGTCACAAAAAACGTACTCTTGAAATTGAATAAAAACTTAAACTCTATTTTAGGCGTCAGGAAAGATTGAAATGTACGAAAAATGACGACAAATATTTAAATAACAAATATTAAATAAAATCTGCCGAAAAATCGCCGATTTCTTGGTCCCATTTTATTTTTTTTTAAAAACCATAACTGAGTACTAGTATGTACACATTTTGGTTGTATTGTTTTCCGGGGGCAATATTAATCGAAACAATGAACTATTTAATTATATAACACAAGTGACTTTGGGAGAAAAAAAATCACTTTTCTATAAGCCATGGATCGATTCGTTATTTGCAAGATCGCGTCCCCGGCAGGTTCCATGTGGCAATGCCTTTTCTTGTCAGAATCGTATTAAGTCTAAGTTAAGTCTGACACCAGCTCATTTATCTTGGCTTATGAAGAACTTGAAGGTAAACCCAGTAATGATTTAAAATTTTTACAAGCAGCATTACATTTTAATTTAATAACAGTAAAAATAGAAGTAAACCATGTAAATAATGCAGATTGCTGACATGTAAAGGCTGGAATGAACATGTAAATAAAGTACAATATAAATGTGATTAATGCCTGTTTATGTTTATTGTGTAATAGTTCGTACAAAAAACTATTTTAGAAAAATAAAGTACGGTAGCGGCAGGGACCCCACATATTTTTAAGGGACCCACACATTTTATAAGGGGTGGGTCCCAGGGACTCCACATTATCGAACACTAATGCAACCCCTGTATCGGTAACATTTTCATTGAATATGACCTAGCCAAAAGATTGCAAACATCAGCAAATTTCTTCCATGTTGTGTTCATACATTATTTAAATGAGCTATGGTAATTTGATCACGTTAGCATCATCCAGCATTTTGACTGGGTAATAAACGACTTAACCTATCAGGTCAAAGAACACGTTTCAGATCAAATCCTACACAGGAAGCATGGCAAATACCGTATCGCATCAAGCGTTTACATGCGACCAGAATCATTCGCTTTTGATGAAATTAAGTTGAATTTTACTTGCATTTTATTTTTTGTGCATTACAATTACTACTGAGTAATAATCGTAACTGTGGAATGCAGCATGACCGGATTTTGTTACCGTGATCATTTACTACTAAGCGATGCATTTGTGTTTGTTTTATTTTTCTGTTCATCGTACAACTGTGAATGTTTTCTGAAGGATAATAATTTTTGTATAACTTTCTAGGCTGTCTGAAAACGGGTCATTTACTTTGTATTTAAAATAAAGGCTACAGTGACTAAGCGTCTGACTGTAATATTTCCAAGAATGGTGCAAGAACAATGGCCTGAAACACGGTTACCGGTACTAGAACTTGAAGTGCTTGAAATAAGCGCCATTTGAAACAAAGTTGCCCAAATTTAACCACAAATAAGCACCACCATGAAATGAAAGTGTAACAAAGTGGCGCCTAACTGAAGACAAATATGGTAGCTTTGGTCCTGCAACCCTTTGCAGCCTGACTGGCTTTGGACTTGCAACCCTTTACAACCTGACTGGCTTTGAACTTGCAGCCCTTTATAGCCTGACTGGCTTTGGACTTGCAACCCTTTACAACCTGACTGGCTTTGGACTTGCAACCCTTTACAGCCTGACTGGCTTCAGACTTGCAACCCTTTACAACCTGACTGGCTTTGGGATTGCAACCTCTTACAGCCTGACTGGCTCTGGACTTGGAACCCTTTACAGCCTGACTGGCTTTGGACTTGCAACCCTTTATAGCCTGACTGGCTTTGGGATTACAATCTTTTACAGCCTTGACTGGCTTTGGGATTGCAACCCTTTGCAGCCTGACTGGCCTAACAGTATTTATAACTGTACTATCTATTTGTAACCACAACAGTAACCCAGCACAAGCGCAAGACACACTCTACCAAATGAATCCCAACTCAACCTTCAGACATTCACAAAAAATAATTTTTCAGTACCAGGTATCAAAACAAACTTGGTGTTATTTTGCATATGACCAAGCTAATTGTGTTTATGATCTCTTACAGTAATCGTGCTGCTCTGCATTTGTATACCCATACATTGAAATTCAAGTAAGTGCTGCTTTGTTTGCTCACATTCTGATATATCATTCTGGAACCTAGTTGACATATTCTTACATGCTGCAGACTTTAGTACCACTCTAAATTTGTCTTATACCATTGTCCCTTGTGTCTAAGTAAGTCCAAGGACAGATGAGTGTATGGTTTTAAATTCAAATGTTCATGGGTGAAGTATTCTTGCCGAGTCTTATTGAAATGTTTATAATTCTATTAGGTTAGCATGAGAATACTGCAAAGTATGCACTAAGGCAGGACAGTGATCTTATCATTTGACATGTAGCAATATTCTCATGTGATAACCTCATTATTTTTCTGCGAGTTGTAATAATTTAGTGAGATATAGAATCCAAAATTCCAGTAAAAAGTATTCACCATCGTTCAGTGACATAATTCAGTCACGTTGTTGCTGTGAACGATGTAAATAAAGGGAAGTGTCTGAATGTGATGTAAACATGACATGACACACATTTTCCAAATAAGGAAGATATTCAAGCACATATTCCAACACATCCATACAGGGTTTCATACACAAATGAATTTTCAGAGTTTAGTGTATGATAATGTGAATTATGTTAATTTACCTGTAGTATTTATGAGGTTGAACCTAAGTATTACGCTGATGGAGAGGATGCATACGCCATGAAAAGAGAACTGACAGAGTTTTACAAAGATGACTCGACAACTTATAAAATGAAACGAAATGAAGCCGACGATAGAGATGGTGATAAAGGTAAAAAGAAAGGAAGAAATGGGACCGACTCGGAAAGACACATCCATGGTGATAAATGTGGAGAGAAGTGTGAGGGGTCTGAAGAGACGAAGTCACTTAAAAAGGGAAAGAAGAAAAAAGAGAAAGAAACAAAAGATAATGGTGGAAAAGATTTGTGTTGTGAATGTGCATGTAAAGATCACCATCACTCGGATACCACATGACATTCACTGCTAGAATAAATTCATAGAACAATGCAATGTTAGCTGCAGAGGTTTTACTCTACTTGATTTTGAAATGAAACGCTAGGAAAACAACATTTATAAATGTTTTGTTTTACTTTTGAAAACAAAGCATGGACATTGAAAGCCAACAGTGATGTGGGAGTTCTGGCTAGCCGTGATTCAGCTTTGTTGCTCTTTACCTCATTCGTATACATCGTCTTGATTCATGAATGTACATTAAACAAAGTTTAGGTATAACTGAGATTCTATGTATTTAATTGATTAATACTTCTGTATTAAGATTATTCAATACCACTAAATATATGTTCACATTTCAAATTTATATTAAACTGACACACTTATGGCGAGAAGCAATAACTTTTAAAGGGCAGGGAGGGGCAGCTTTTCTCCAAATATGGTTTTGTGTATCATGGTTGAAATTTTACCGCCTCACAATTTAATTAAGAACCAACTGTCAAAACACACAATGTGGAAGTTGAAATTCGGAGGTGTACACTAAACTCTTTGATGGTAATTAGCTGGGATATCAAGGTCTTTCATTTAGAAGTTAATTTCATCCATTATTCTTTCTCCTAGTTCTGATGAGTGGTCACTGACATAGCTAGTTACAAGTCATAAACCTGACCTTGAAATGTTCTTAATTGTTTGCTAGTGTTTCATTTTGACATCAAGATCATTGGCAATGCGATGATATACAGAACCTAGGAAAATTTAAATTAGTTTGTCTCATTACTGTACTATTATGCAGTTTTACTCTCTGCACCATCCTATATTTGTACACAAACCACTTCAGTGACCTCAAGTAACTAATGACTGGCAACAGTCATTACCAAAATGCCTCACAAAATATTCTGATTGTGAGAAATGCAAGTTTAACAAATCTTAAATACAGACAATATTTGTTCTTAGAGGAATTGAGAGATCACATTTTAAATGTTAATGTGTGAAGTGTTTTTCAAAATATTCATTTGTTTTGTATATTTTCCATTGTTTGATTTACAAAAGAATAAAAGTGCAGTTGATTTAGATGGTTTGTTTATTCCTAATAAAGTACTGTAAATGCATTATTCCATAGACCCTCTAAAAGATCACTGGCTTTTAATTTTGCTGATAAGTAAAATAACAATAAAACTCATCATTTCCATGACAAAACAATGAATATGCTCAAAACAGTGAAAATAAATGGTTTTACAGTACAAGTGTGGAGTCTTTAGATATCTACCCTGTTAACTATTGTTTGTGGGCTCTATTCCGAATAAAAAAAACTACTAATTCGGTATCAAAGATCATACAATACAGTGGTCACAGTGTGAGGTAAGTGTTTTGGATGACATTGGGTGGTAAATAAGCAATGGTAATACTGAATACCGTAAAATCTGTATTAGAAGCCGCATCCCCAATAGAAGCCGCACCCATTCTCTTTGAACAATCGAGACCCAAAAATTCACCAGGTCGCATATGTGTAGATGCTCAAATAGAAGCCGCATCTCCTCTGTTGCATTGTACCATTTTAATAGAAGCCACAGCTTTTAATACAGATTTTACAGTATATATATAAAACTTCTTATTCAAATTTCTTAATAAAATATTCAGATATTTATTCAAGGATTTCTATAAACAGTTTGGTAACACACACAACTAGTTATGGCATAATAAAATTCAACAATGCTCTGTAGTAATCATAGTCACTTGCACATTTAAATACATTTACATAATCAAATAGTACAAATATTGCAGACAGTGTCTGTCCACTACATGCATGAGTGGCATAGAACTCCAGACAAATTTTCACTGTTCCAAAATATTTTTACAGACTTTAAAAAAATCTGTTTTTTATCAAATTGACCAAAAACGTTTTACCGGTAATATTTTTTCTGAGCCTAACTTGATAGTTGTTTTGCATTAACATTAGGTATGTAAATGCAAAGATCTACACCCATCTGGCATACAATTGGACACAATGATTAAGATTATGGCAAATAAAAAAAACAAAATCTAGTAAATTTATTTCACTGAAATGTGACCTTGCAACATGATACTTGACACTTATATTTTGGCAGAATAATTGGCAAAACATTGCTTTCATATAATTTATGGAAAGTTTCTGTTTCTTACACAGACATACATTTTCAGTTCCACTACATTCCACTAGCTTGGAATAACAAATATTGAAAACCTGCCTATTAAAAAATTAATATGGATATTGTATAGGTTTTTATCGTGTATATATGGAATTAAGTACTGTAATATGTAATGCTAAAGTTCATGATTGAAAGACTGTATTTGCTTTATGAAAAGGGCACTTATTGTATGCTGGATTATTATATTATTTTGACTGTAGACATAGCTCTGTCATTCATGTTACGTACATTGGCTACTATTGGAGTAAATACAGTACTTGTATTATCAATGCGTAGGATTTGTACAACACTAATCACCACCACTTTGTAAGTCATTTGACATAGGAGTCGTACGTACTGTATAAAAATAACTGTCAGTAACAATAAATACCTAACATTTTCACCAACACCATCATCACAAAATACGGTAGTCCTGTTTATAGACTGCATTTCCCTTCAGAAGATTGGGACTAAAATAGGCAAATTTTTTGAGTAAAAACTGACAATTTACTTGAATTTTGTCTGTTGGCTCCAAAATTAGAGTTCATTACCAGAAATATTGAAGAATACAATAAAAAAAG